TTCCTTTCTTCAACGTTAGATCAATACATGTACCGGAGAAACATTACATATCACCACGCTCTGCTGTCCCCGCACCTCGTCTAAGTTTTGCTATCAGCCGAAACCATTTCTAATGGAAATATACGGCAGCAGACAAAGCTGAGCCTGATAAGCAATTGGTCACGTCACGCCGGAGACTTTAGAAGCCAAGTCAGGACCTGTTTTATCGACCGAGAACTTGATCACAGACGAAGGGTGAAGAGTACCAGGCTCTCTGAGCCGGAATCAATCCGAGGTGAGTACAAGAGTTGCCCTCAAGTGTTTTGGAAGGCGGCCAAGTGTTGGGTGTGGGATAAGGCGCCCTCATTTGTCTTGTGCCGTCTTGGATACTTAAGTTCGTGAAATGCCTGTTTTGTTTCTGCGTAGAGAATGCAATTGCAGCTCGTTGCAAAACTCTCTGCATGTAATAAGCAAACTATTTTGCATTCATTTTTCACAAAATAATTTCATGTTTTAGTCCCCAGTCCAAACCCGTGTATTTCTGTGGCACATCAGGCCGTCCGTTTTTTTCAAATTCTGCACCTCCAGGACTAGGATATTCTTTTATTACACTTTTTCTTCCGGGTCGACGGAAGTATTGTTTAGGGTGGCGCTGTCGAGTAAGGGGGACTAGAAGAGTGTGCGGAGATTGGACTTCAGTTGATTGACAGGGTTGTGACCCGGTATTACGAAAAAGTAACGTTCAAAAGGGTTTGAAATTCAGGTGTCACAAAAATGTTATGGCCTTGCCAGTGGTCGACCACAGAAAAGGCTAAGGTCGGCGTTTTTTTCCTAGGCCCTGGTAACTAGAGATTTCCCTACCGAGTACCTCCTTCACTCCGCTGTATTTTCCATGTAAGCCGAACGAAATCACTTTTTTTTTCTGATAATCTACTTAAGATGATGGATTGGAGGAGTTAGCAGTGATGATTCACGTTGATTGATTCCAAATCTCCGTGTATTACTACAAGTAAAATTCCTGATAAAACTTTTCCCACTTACAAACTATGGGCGATGTCGTTACTTGCGCTATAGAACTCATTACCGGTGATTGCCTTTTCTGATTAGGGGTTTCCCGATGACGAATTGATTCCGTGGTTTGAGAAGACGATCGGATGACTGGATATCGATGGAGATTTACCCTCCATCAGCCTCAGGACGGGGTGACAAGCCGTGCAAAAGATTTTCCATCAGGGCTGAGGAGACGGTCGAATGTCGTCCTTGAGAGAATCGTGGCTCATTGGCGTCATTTTAACGACTAAA